GTTGCTTTATAAAATGGTCATTTACGCAAACCGCCAAATTAAAATTCTAACGGGAAAATCAATATACCGTTACAAAAATGGCTAATTATAATACGGAAAAGAGCCAAATATATCCCTCTACTATCGAAAATTATTTAAACTTATCCTCCGTTAAACTATTTGGCTATTTCAGACCCTACCATTATACTATGAATCACAACTGCCCTTATTTTTTACGGAAAGCTACGTGGAAACTCTTTATTAAATGATCCATCCCCAATTTAATCTACCCGGGTCACAAAACTACCCATAACCCGACACGTTAGTGAATGAAGACAATTGCAGTTTTAATTTCCTTGCTTGAAACTTAATCAGCTCATCTCTTCCAAGCATATACCAGCAAGGAAAATCCAAAAGACACTTCAATTCATTTTCTTTAGTGTTGGCTCAACCATTCCATAACAGAGATACACCTCAAAGATGTTGAAGACAAAGACGAAGAAGATGAAATTCTTCAACTTCTCAACAAACAATTCTTCATCATCTCCGTCTCGAACTCGAACTCACAAGATTGTTGGGACCACATTTGAACTCCATTATTCACGTTGTGGTCATCAGCAAGAGCGTCATAACTTGATTTTCTTGAATTTGAACATCAACAGAGTATAGCCATTTTCGTATTCATCAAACAATCAGTTATAGACATCCCATGAAACCCATTAACTTCAATCCTCTTATTGCCTCTTATTTTCCATTTCAAGTACTTAATCTGCAATACCTTTCACTTTCCATGCTGAAATACAACCTTGGATCTTCCCCTATTATGCAATCAATGGAAATTTCTCTCTCTTTCCCGACGAAGTTTGCTTTAGCTTTGGAAAGATCCCAAAAGATATTAACTTTGTTATCTCTTTTGTTGTTAACATCTTTGGACCCCTGTTTCATCTAGAAAATAAAAACTTTATGTGGAGGCGGAAAGAAGGTGTACTGGTGGAGGATAGATGAGGAGAAAAAATTAGAGTATTATTGCAGTCAACAACTTCATCAGAGCCGATAAGAAGAAAATGGATGTGAAAGTTCTGCAGGTTAGGAGACCAAGTGAGAGTAAAGAGGCCGATGTGGGTGTGGTTAGAGAGGTGGCCAGGTTGGAGTAGCAGCAACTGGTGGCTGTGTCGGACCGGAAGAGGACGAGCGGCAATGACGACCACCTTAAGAGGGTAGCAAAAACAAAAAGAGAAAGGAGAAGAGTTATAACAGGCGGGGTTATGAGTAGTTGAGTTGTGAACCAGGTAAATTAAATTAGGGGTGGGTTATTTAATGAGGAGCTACCACGTTGTGACGACCCGACCAGTCGTCTCATGAGTTACCGCTCCGTTTCCCCCATTTTAATGCTTTTTCATGTTTCATTATCAGTATTTGGTGTGTTAGAGTTGATTTGGATTGTTTTGGCGGAAAATGAGACACTTAGTGTCTTTAAGGAAGGTTTGGTTTGGAAAAGTCAACCGGATGTTGACTATTGAGTTAGACAGTTCGGATGTGATTTTCGATGATTCGGTTAGCTTCGGGGGATGATTTGTGACTTAGGAGCGTGATCGGAATTTATTTTGGAAGTCCGTGTAGAATTAGGCTTGAATTGGCGAAGTTAGTATTTTGGCGAATTCCGGTTGATGGGTGAGATTTTGATCCGAGGATCGGAATGGAATTCTGAGAGTTGCAGTAGCTTCGTTATGTGATTTGTGATGTGTGCGCAAAATTTCAGGTTATTCGGACGTCGTTTGCTCGGGTTTATGATCGGAAGTGCATTTCGGAAGCTTTTGAAGAACTTAGGCTCGAATTCGATGTAATTCGATGGTTTTAGTGTTGTTTGAGGTGTTTTGATGATTGGAACAAGTTTGAATGATGTTTTAGGATGTTTTGGTATTTTTGGTTGAGGTCCCGGGGGCCTCGGGGTGATTTCGGATGGCTAACGGGATGAAATTTGGAGTTTAAGGACTGCTGAAGGGTCTGGTATCTGGTGTTCTCGCTTCTGCGGAAATGGACCGCAGAAGCGGTTTCGCAGAAGCGAAGGGGAAGCCGCAGAAGCGAGATGGGGAGTCTGGGGAGTTTCCGCAGAAACGGACTGCTGACCGCAGAAGTGGTTCTGGGTAAAATTGGAAGAACCGCAGAAGCGAAATAAAATTCGCAAAAGCGGTGTCGCAGAAGCGACAGTATTATCGCAGAAGCGAAAAGGGCATGTTCAGAGGTATTAATTCCATCTTCGCAAATTTTTGAAAGAACTCAACATTTTCACTTCGGACTTGGAGGTTTTTGTACGATTTTGGAGAGGGAATCAAGGGACTTCATTGAGGTAAGGAATTCTGAGCCTAAAACATAAATCTAATGTGTTATTACATGAATTAAGGGTGAAAAATCAAGGAATTAGAGGTCAAAAATGGAGGTTAGGGCTTGAACTTAAGAGAAAGGAAATTTGGGATTTGAAGGAGCATTTGAGCTCGGATTTTGGTAAATTTGATATGTATAGACTCGTGGTCGNCGAGATGAGAAATCCATTGATGTGAATTTTCTGATTTTTCGAGAAGTGAGCCCGGGGCTCGGGTTTTGCTAGTTACGAGATTTTTGCTATATTTTGATTGTTTTCGATTGGGTATTGTTCCCTTGGCATATTGTGATGTATTCGCTCTGATGTTGGATACATTCGACGCGCGTGGAGGCCGATTTGAGGGGCAAAGGCGTCGCGAGCTAGAGATTTTACCGGTTCGAGGTGAGTAATGATTGTAAATGATATCCTGAGGGTTTGAAACCCCGGATTTGCACATCATAGTGCTGTATTGAGGTGACTTGCACGCCAAATAGCGAGCGTGGGGTAGAGCACCGTTGGGGATTGTGACTTGGTCCGTCCCGATTGATGAAATTACTACTTATTTGACTGAAACTACTTGTTATCATCATAATGTGGGCTGATTGACATGTTTGTGCTTCGTGCCAACTATGCGAATCCTTCAGGGATTGATATCACTGTTTTCGCATTACCTTGCATATTACTTGATCTCGGTCCCAGGGTTTTAATACTGTTTTGCAAACTCAGCCATTTTTCTGAGATTTGAAAACTTAAACAATATTTTTGACGTTTTGAGCTGAGAACTATTATTTTAATATTGCCCAAGTGGCTTATGTGCATTTCTGGACTGAGCATGGATCGGGCTGCGCGCCGCAGCAGTGCTATAGTGATTTTTGGAAATATGGATGGCTCGGGCTGAGCGCCGCAGCGGTATTGTATTGATATTGAGGCCGAGGGCCTGGTTGGTGCCACGAGATGGCTTGATTATTTGCGCTTGGGTTGTATGAGCCCCTCCGGAGTCTGTACACACCCCCAGTGAGCGCCGTCGACGTTAAATATATGGATGGCTCGGGCTGCAAGCCGCAGTGGGTACCTGACTGTACCGGCATATGCATTGCATTGCACTCATGCATTTGTTCCTATTTGTATTATCTGTCATAACATTTCAGCACTCTCATTTCATTGACTTCCATGCTATTTCTGCATTGCTTACCTGATACCCTGGTGTTATTCGTTAATGGAGTGCTGCGCCCGAGGGGCTGACTTTTGTGCTGACTTGCACTATCTATTTCGCATTCATTTTCTTAACTGCTGGTAAAAGATATTTTCAAAATGGTTTTAAACTTAGCCCAGATATTTCTAAAGATTTCACGGTTTCACTGTTTTCTCAAAGGGTTACACTGTTCTATATAGCATGATGGCTTGCTTACGTGGTTTCTTGCTGCTCAGTTATTATTTACCTTTATTACTCACTGAGTTGGAGTACTCACTTTACTCCCTGCACCTCGCGTGCAAATACAGGTATTGGTTTACCCGGTAGCGGGTTTGAGCTGGATGAGGATTTACTATCGTAGTTGAGCAAGGTGACCGCCAGCGTTCGCGGCACCGGATTTCTTCCTTTTTATTCCAGATTTATTTTTATGTATTACAAGCTTTGTAGTTGTACCAAAATCATTCTAGATGCTCGTGACTTGTGACACCCTGGACGGGCTGTGTTGGGTTGTAAATATCGTTACTTAATGTCATTAAGTCGTGTTTTGCTATTCATTTATGTTAAATTATTTTGAAAGAGACGAATTGGGTTAGTTGGCTGGCCTTGTCTTCACGAGAGGCGCCATCACGACTAGTGCGGGTTTGGGTCGTGACACACGTGGACCTCCGTAAAAAATAAGGATAAATGTGACTCATAGTATTACGGTTGGGTCTAAAATGGCCAAATAGTATAACGAAGGGTAAGTTTAAAATAATTTTCGATAGTAAACGGATATATTTGGCCCTTTTTTGAATATAACATTACATTAATTTTAATATTAGCAAAAAATTTGATCCAAAATATCAATCAATCAATTGATCGAAGCCGAGCCGAGCAACAACGACGGCGTGAGGCTTGACTTCTTCTCAACTCTTGAAGAGCTAGAAGAAGTGCAATTGTATATATACCCATCAAAATTCTTTTCCTCTCCAATATGGGACAATGTCCATTTGCCAAATAGAAAAGTTCAAAATTTTTTATTTTTCCCTCCATTTCCTATTCACTCTATTTTAAGCTATTATAATTTGTAAGCTTAAACCCAACACTGTCAATCTTCTCGAGATAGGGATAAAGTCTGTGTATGCACTATTATCCTCAAACCCCATATGTGATTTCACTGGGTTTATTATTGTTATTGTATGCACTTGTCAATAGCCAAAATGTTTTTGTATTTTTCATGCAAATACTTTAGTAGACCAGTAATATTTTTGGAGATAAATATTTATTACATAACTTATAAGGTATTCCCCCCCCCCCCCCCCCCGCCCCGGAATAATAGGTATAATTACCTTATTAACCATCGTTAAGGCTATTTTTAGTTAATAAATCTGAGACTCTAATATTTACTGAGGACAAGTGTCACAAATCTATATAAATAACGTTTGGAAATGAAAGAAAAAGAGAGTTGAAGAGCAAAACCACTTTACAGTGGGGAGAAAAAGATAAACAGAAGGATCATAAATGAGATTAAAACCCTATTGACGCAGATCGAGTTGTAAATTACGTTGATTACAAATTCATTATTTCGCTATTTGCATCTTCATCATCCATTGCAAAGTTCAGACTTCAGAGGTACAAATTCCTTCAATTTTTATGATCACCTTATTATACCTTCCATTTTCAATCTGTGAAAAATCTGTTACATCTGAACATTTCGATCTTCAATAAATGATTTTTACACTCATGTGATCATTTCATGACGTTGTTTTTGTTGTATAATACACTGTTAGTACCATTTTGAAAATACTATTGCCTTTTCGATAATAAAGTATTGATCAAAAGAGCTCAGATATTTTAATACTCCATTAGTTTGAACTTTATGTTTACACAACTCTCGTGTATCACAACTCACAATTGCATTTCTTTCACGAACATAAGAAATTAATATTTGTCTGAAATGAATTCAATACAAGCTGACAAATTTTTGCATTACTATCGCTCTCAAACTTACCAATTTAATATCCAAAATCAATTGAAGGTACCTGAAGGAAGACTATTTTACCGATATTGAAATGAAATAAGCATAGTCAAACCTCAATTAGTTTAGAATTGCAATAGGTATTATCATTACAGCGAACTAAAGTAAAGAAGTACTCCCCCCCCCCCCCCCCCACCCCCAACCCAAAAAAAAAAAAATTCAATTTGCTTTATAGTACATTTCTAGCAAGAATCATATTTTATGAGCATTTCGTCAATGACCAAATAAATTTTATGTGAGTTTTATGTGTAATATCCCTTCACCTTTAAATTAAGTTTTGAATTTGAGGTCTATAATTTCTTGTGATCCTTACGCCTATAATTAATAACCTTTTTTTTCTTTTCACCTTTTACTTTTTAGTTTCAAATTTAAAAGTTTTTCAAAAGATAAATTAGGTAAGTAAAGTTTGAAGAGTAGCTGCAATTGGTTGTTGAAATGATGGGCTCCGGGAAGGCAATAAGAGATGAGTATTATATACATACCAAATCACATGTCACACGTAGTGATTTAATATTTGTACACACAATCCACACACCAACCTTTTATTATTTATACTGAAAATAGTATTCCATTGAAGAAAATCATTTTTTGATTCTTAGAAAGTGTTCACACCAAAGTGAGAGAGATGCATCTATGGCCATCAATGAGATTAAGGGACTCATTCAAATTGGGTTACTTGAAGAATCTAGAATGGAATCTTCACAGAATGGACAGTCAGAAGAAACGTAACAAGTCCCAGAACTGTGGAAATAATGATCAGAAGCTTCTGGATGATGAACCAAGCAGTTCTAATACCAGCGGTGGAGGAGGAGGGAAATTGGTTGTGATTTGTAGGGACTTACTCATGATCCTTTCTTGTTGTTACTGCTGTTTCTGCTGTGGAGGTACTTCTTGCTTCTGGGTTTTACCGTGAATTTCATAGATTTTATTTTTGGTGATTTATATGAGGGTTTTTTTTTGCTTTCTTTTAGTTAGAAATTGAATCTTTGGCTCACAATAAGGTTCTTTACTTTTTGTTGATACTGTCTTCCATTGACTTTTTCTATTTCACGGTATTCACTTCCCAAGTTGAGTTTGCTTGACAATTTCTCTATTAGGGATTCAGTTCAGAGCTAAATAGAGATGCCTTTTTAACATTTTTGAATTACTCATTGTTGAGTTCGTAGTCCACTAGCTATACTACCTGTGAGCAAGGTCAAACCATGATGAGAAAGCAAAAAATGTGATTTGAGGAGTTACTGGATGTGCTGGTAAACTAAATTAGGCATGAAATTGCTCATAGATTGAGCTTGTATATTAGACCAACAACAATTAAACAGATAAAAAGCAAAAGTTAGATTTAAGGGGTAAACCTTTTTTTGTTTTGTTTTTGAGAAGGCACTTACTTAGGGAGCTTGTGCAATGAAATGGCAAGAGATCATTCCCACACCACTTCCTCTCCGCCTTATTTCCCAGATAATTTCCCATTTCCAGCCTCATTGCAACATTATAGTATGGGGTTCCGTTCCCATAAGCATATTCATGGAAGATTACTTGCACTTAGTTAGTTGTGCTGGTTCCTCTAAAGCAGCTACAAATCTTGCCTAGTCTGGGAGCATGTGGATGCTGCAAGCGAGTTAAGTGATTAAAATGCTACTTCAAAATTTCCGGTTGAGGAGCATGTACTTAAAAACCAGGGAAGTATAGCCCAGTCACTTTTGTGCAATAGAGCTCCTAAAATACCTGGAAAAGTAAATCCTACTCAACTTTGTCAAAAGATACTAGTATTGGTTATCAAAGGTTATGGCCATCCTTCATTTTCTCTTACTGAAGTTGAAATCTATAAATCTTCTCCACTTTCAGTGTTAAGCATACATTTACTGGTTTTGCACACTTTACAAAGGCCTCACTTGCTTCAAAAATATAAGCTTTCAGTTGTGATGTGGTAAAATACCTCCTTTATCCAATGGAAGAGCACAGCCTGGACTAGAAATCCCCATGTATAATTGTCTGCTGCTCCACCTTTACAAGTGTTATTCATACGCTTGGTAATACATGCACGAAAGAAAAATAAATCATGTATATTCGTTTGCATTTACATGTAGTTGGTTGCCAAAGAATAGGGTGCACTCATGCTTCTAGACATTGCTTTAACTTGAGATTTGCTCTATATGGCATGAGTGCCACTTATAACTAGGGTGAAGCTAGAGTATTAGCTACGGGTCGGATAAATCCATTAGCTTTTGCTTATTTCATACATTTGTATTAGGAAATCCATTAAATACGTATAACTTTTTAATTGCAAACCTGGAAACTAAGACGAGTTATGTGTTCGGTGGCAAGTTCTGAACCCATAAACGTTGAATCCTGGCTCCGAATCGTATAAATTAATACTCATGTAATTAGAAAATTAGTATTAGTTGTTCATATTTTTATAGTATGGTGTTATTTCTGTCCCGTTGTACAAGAACAAATGTGATATTCAGGACTGCAACAACTATAGGGTATCAAGTTGCTGAGTCATACTATGAAAATTTGGGAGAGGGTGGTGGAGAGGAGGGTGCGACGTAGTGGTACTATTTCCGAGAACCAGTTCGGGTTTATGCCAGGAAGGTCTACTACATAAGCCATTCACCTTGTGAGGAGATTGGTGGATCAATATAGGGAAAAGAAGAAGAACTTGCATGTGGTATTCATAAAGCTGGAGAAGGCTTATGATAAAATCCTGAGAGAGCTCCTATGGAGATGTATGGAGGCTAGCGGTGTCCCAGTGGCATATATTAGGGTGATTAAGGACAAGTACGAGGGAGCGAAGACTCGGGTGAGGACTGCGGGAGGGGACTCAGATCATTTTCCAGTGGAGATGGGGTTACATCAGGGATCGGCTCTTAGCCCATTTTTGTTTGCCTTAGCGTTAGAGGTGCTGACACGACACATACAAGAAGAGGTGCCATGGTGTATGCTATTCGCTGACGACATAGTCCTGATTGATGAGACGCGTGAGGGAGTTAACGCTAGGTTGGAAGTTTGGAGAGAGACGCTGGAGTCTAAGGGTTTTAAGTTGAGTAGGTCAAAAACTGAGTACTTGGAGTGCAAGTTCGGTGATGGGATGCACGAAGAAGGAGTGGAAGTAAAGATTGGTACTCAAGTCGTCCCCAAAAGAGATAGTTTCAAGTATCTTGGGTCGATTCTTCAAGGCAACGGGGAGATTGACGAGGATGTTACCATCATATTGGAGCGGGCGGACAAGGTGGAGGCTTGCCTCGGGGGTTTTGTGTGATAAGAGTGTGCCACCTGGACTTAAGGGCAAATTCTACAGAGTGGTGGTTAGATCAGCTATGTGGTATGGGGTTGAGTGTTGGCCCGTCAAGAAGTCCCATGTCCAGAAGATGAAACTAGCTGAGATGAGGATGCTGAGATGGATGTATGGTCATACCAGGAAGGACAGGATCATGAATGAAGTTATTAGGGACAAGGTAGGAATGGCATCTGTGGAGGACAAGTTGCGGGAGTCGAGGCTGAGATGGTTCGGGCATGTGAAGAGGAGAGACATAGATGCTCCGGTCAGGAGGTGTGAGAGGTTGTCCATTGCGGGTTTGAGGAAGGGTAGGGGCAGGCCTAAGAAGTATTGGGGAGTGGTAGTTAGGTAGGACATGTCATTGCTCCAGCTTACCGAGGATATGACCCACGATAGAAAGACGTGGAGGTCGAGGATTAAGGTTGAAGGTTGACAGTTAGTAGTGTGTTCATCCTAGGGTTACCAGTAGTACGACGACTAATTTTGTATTATCTTATTCATGATTCTTTACTATTACATGTTGTGTCATTCATGCACGTTACCTTAATGTATTTTTGTTACTATTGTTTGCTACTTGTTTGCTTATCTCCGTTGTGCCTTGAGCCGAGGGTCTATCGGAAATAGCCTCCCTATCTTTATGAGGTAGGGGTAAGGTCTGCGTATACACTACCTCTCCAGACCCCATTTATGGGAATACACTGGGTTCATTGTTGTTGTTGTTTTTTTTGTAAGTTATGATCATATAACTACGCATAGTGACTTTAAAGTAGCAAAAGCTGCAGCTTTTGTATGACAAGTGATAATTCTTGATATGAAAAGCTGCTGATGAATCTTGTTGTCTGACCTTTCAACAGCACGATGAAGTAGATGAATTACCACCATGCACTGTCTAACTAAGGTCACATGTCTCATATTTTATAAGCTCATTTCTCATTGAGCTGAAACCATAGAGCTACAATAGTAAGTTCTTTCCCGGAAAACCAAAGTTCTTAATACACGTTGAGCAAGGACTATTTTTGAAACATAATAGAATTGAATACTGCAATTTGTCAAATTAGAATAAATATATATTACATGGATGGACATTTTTTAAGAAGGCACGAATCATAGTAGTTTTTGCTAGAACTTATAGCACACACATAGTGGAGCTCCAGCAATGATCATGCTGTTAAGGTGATAAAGTTTGTATTCCAACTTCATATTTTCAGATACTTTGATATGGTGTGGACGTGATTCTTCGTTGTGCTCTATAATGGGGCACTTGCTGGTTGACTTGAGATCGTAAGTGATAGTGTGAGGCAGGAACTAATTGATAGATTTGCACTTGTTTTGGCGACATTGATAATTGATGATGTAAGGAATCTGTGAAAGGAGAGTGCAGATACGTGCATAGAATAGCAAGTTCACTTTTTTTTAAAAGAGTGGTGTTTGAAGGAGGAAGATATGCAGATATGAGGTTACAGGTCTAGTTCTATTGGTAATTTGTGTTTTCATGGGTAGTAGGCCTTTACATCTGGGATTTTTAAGGTGGTGTTGGAAAGTTTACGGGGGTAGCTCTAGCTGATGTCCAATGATGACTAGACTGTGCCAGGTCTGACGAGAACATCACTAGTTTTTGTAGTAGGCTTTCGGGTGGTTCATGTGATAAGGGAGTGGTGTGGACCACATGCGAACTGTGCAAGTGGGTCAAATTAGGTCCAGGAAGAATATGAGAAGAGAGAAATGTGGTAATGAGATGTTTAGAAGAGGTGGAGAGTGGAGGAGATGGCAGGATTAGTGGGTATCCAACATTAGAGGCAGTTGCTAATGATACATGGTAGTGGGAGGGGAAATTATTGAAGGAAGCTACTGCAACAGTCAGTGTCTTCTCTGGGCTTTTCTTGAGAAATTCTCTTTTACCTTACAATCACGCTTGCTAAAAGTAATTACTTCTATTTTAAGTTTTAGCAGCAAAGCAATTTTGAACGTTCTTAAAGTGTACAAACATAAGGTGACAATCCAAGTTCACTATCCAGTATAAAGAAAGTATACTTGTTTCGTTGTTGGCTGGTTGAGATAATTTCCTCTTAATTGGATGGAATCCCTGCTTTTAGCTTTTTTATTATACTAGCATCTGGTGCTAGAAAACCTAAATATCTTGTTCAAGAATCAAGATATACGATTTTATCAGAGGAACTTCTAGAGAACGGCAGGCAGGCTATTATGAAATTTTCTGAGTGTTTACTTTATTCTGTAAACGTTTATAACTATTACTACTACATTTATATGAGCTAAGTTGTATCCTGAATTGTAAATCAGTTACCGGTTTTCTGCCTCTTGTAGTAGCAATTCTTTGTTTTCATTTGTGTCTAATCTTAAAAAAGAACTATTTACCAGTCTTAGTTACATCTGATAATTGCGTCTCTCTTACAGCCTGTATTGCTGATGAAGAAGACTAAAGACAGGACAGCTATTGGGAGAAAGAGAGTACATTATGGAATTAGAAGATGTAAAGAAAAGATTGGAGTTTAATGAAAATGGTCAACTGCAATTAAAGCTTCGCAACTGTTCCGATGTTAGATCTTTTAGAATCATAGTTTAAGTTTCATCTTTAATGTTAGATCTCAATAACTGGCACCTATTTTGCCATCGTTACAAGCTATCTTTTGATATTAATTAAATTAAATATTCTTGAGGGGCTCAAAGTGTGTCGAATTGAGCCATGCAATGTGAGTGATTAGGTATTTTAGAGAGAGAAATTGAGTAGAAAGGGAAGAAGATAACTGTTTCATTCATCTCAATTGAAGGCTGATACACAGCTTATATACTTTTAACTAACTCTAAACTGATTTTAACTAACAACTAATAACACCAGCTAATCACAGTTAGTCCAGCTAATCACAGTTAGCACTACTCCACTTCTGCTTCTCTATTCTATATTTCATTACTCCCCCTCAAGCAGGAGGGTGAAAGACATCGAGCACTAGCTTGGATAGAAGAAGATGGTGTTGGCTAACTCCCATACCTTTTGTAAGAAGGTCTGCAAGTTGAGACTGTGTGGCAATGTAGTTGGTCTCAATAAGTCCTTCCTTTATCTTTTCCCGAACAAAGTGACAATCAATATCTATATGTTTGGTGCGCTCATGGAAAGTGGGATTTGCAGCAATCTGGACGGCTGCTTTGCTATCACAGTGAAGTTGAATTGGTTTGGAAACTATCACACCTATGTCTTGTAGTAATCCAACCAACCATACAATCTCTGCCACACTTGCTGCCATACTTCTATATTCAGCTTCAGCTGAACTTCTACTGACTGTGGATTGCTTCTTTGTTTTCCATGAGACCAAAGAATCACCTAGTTTAATCACATACCCTGTGACTGATCGCCTGGTATTGGGGCATGCTGCCCAACAAGAGTCACAATAAGCAGTCAATTGAGTGGCTGGCTTATGGCTGAGAAAAATTCCCAAACCTGGGCTACTTTTAATATATCTCACCACCCTTAAAGTTGCTTCCCAATGTGATTTCTTGGGCTGCTGCATAAATTGGCTAAGGACCTGGACAGGGAAGCAGATATTTGGGCGTGTGATAGTAAGATAAATCAACTTACCCACCAATTTTTGATAACCTGCCACCTCTTCAAGTATAGGGTCATTAGCTACTCCAGCCAATCTGTCTAATTCGACAGTCGTGAGTCTAGTGCTTGCTTCAATTGGTGTGGAAGCTGGTTTTGCACCACTTAGCCCCACATCTGAGATCAGTTCTAAAGCATACTTTCTCTGATTGAGAAGTATGCCCTGTTTTGACCTCAACACTTCAATCCCTAGGAAATACTTGAGTTCTCCAAGATCTTTAACTTAGAAATTGTTGTGGAGAGATTGTTTTGCTTCTTCAATGAGGTGTATGTTGTTCCCAGTAATAAGAAGATCATCAACATAGATTAGAATGATCACTATATTGTCTCCTTTCCTTCTAGTGAACAGTGAGTGATCATGTGGACTTTGACAGTATCCTGCTTCCATCAAAACAGAGGTGAGCTTGATATTCCATTGCCTCGAAGCTTGTTTGAGACCATATAAGGATTTCAAGAGCTTACATACCCTATACTCCCCCTGCCTGTGAAATCCTTGTGGCAAATCCATATAGACTTCTTCATATAAATCCCCTTGAAGAAATGCATTGTTGACATCCATTTGATATAGGCACCAATTCTTTGAGGCTGCCACACTGATGACTGTTCGAACAGTGACCATCTTTGCAACAGGAGAGAAGGTTTCATGATAGTCTAGACCCTCTCTTTGTGTATACCCCTTAGTTACTAGTCGTGCCTTGTATTTGTCAATCTCACCATTGGCTTTGTATTTAATCTTGTATATCCACTTTGAACCTATAGTTTGCCGTCCCTTGGGCAATGAAACTAACTCCCAAGTTTTGTTCCCTTCCAGTGCATTAATTTTTTGTTGCATAGCCAAAATCCAGTTGGGATCTTGAGAAGCTTCTTTGAATGACTTAGGCTCAGTTGATGTAGAGAAAGATCCCAAGTAAGCTTGATAATTGGGATGAAGATGAGTGTAGCTGACATGGTTGGATATAGGATAAGAGCAGTGGGCTTTTGACTTCCCAGTAGTGATATAGTCACTGAGCCAAATTGGTGGTCTAGTTGTTCTGCTTGGCCTGCCATGGGCATTCCCACCTTCTTCATGTTGTTGGACTGCTGTAGGTGCTGATTCCGCTGGTTGTAGTTCAGCTTGATCTGGTCCAAGAGGTGTGGGGATTTCCAGATCTTGCTGGGGATCTACTCCAATATTAGTGTCCAATGTTGCTTCAGGGACTGATGATATGTCTTCTGCAGTGACAATATCTGTAGGTTCAAGTTGGGATTCTGCACTATGTTGACATTGATCATATGCCTCTCCTGCATGTGGCTGAATAATTCCTGCAGTTGTAATGTTATTGAACAAGGAAAAGTTACTTAAATTTTTCTACAGCTTCAGTTTTAAAAGGAAATATAGATTCCTTGAATTGAACATCCCTGCTAATGAACACTTGATGGTCTTCAAGATCATACAATTTGTAACCTTTTTGTGTTTTTGAATAGCACACAAAGATTGTCTTCCTGGCCCTTGAAGTGAACTTATCACCTCTAGGCAACCTGCTAGCATAGCAGAGACATCCAAAAACCTTCAGATGAGATAGTTGAGGCAACTTGCCATATAGCAGCTCAAATGGTGTTTTTCCTTGCAGCACTTTGGATGGCAGTCGATTGATCAAATATACAGCAGTCCTCACACAATCTCCCCAGAACTTTATAGGTACTGAACTCTGCCAAGGCTCTAGCCACCTCTAGAATGTGTCTGTGCTTTCTCTCCACAACTCCATTTTGTTGTGGAATGTATGGACAGCTGCTTTGATGAATTATACCATAGGAAGACAAAAGTTCATCACACTTTGAGTTAAAGAACTCACTACCATTATCTGATCTAAGAATCTTAACAGTTTTATCAAACTGATTCTTTATTAAGGCAAGGAAGTTTTTCAACACTACAATCACTTCACATTTAGATTGGATCAGGCAAATCCAAGTATGTCTATTGTAATCATCTACTATGGTAACAAAATAGTGTCTTTTGTCATATGTAGGTTTCTTGTAAGGTCCCCATACATCTAGATGCAACAGTTGAAAAACACAATTTGAACTATTATTACTAACAGGAAACTTTAGTCTACTTTGCTTTGCCAAAGGGCAAATCTCACAGCAGCTTAACTGTTCAATATCTAGTTTATTTTTGACATCTGCAATATGTTGCATTGCTCCAATAGAAGGATGTCCAAGTCTCCAATGCCATAGCTTTCCACAATTATCATCCTTATGCACTGCTGCTCCAATTGCAGGTTTTATTCTTTCTTGTAGTATGTATAATCCTTCCTTTTCTTTACCAATCCCCAGAACCTTCCCATTGAAGAGCCCCTGGAATACACAAAAATCAGGAAAGAACAAAGCCACACAACAAAGCTGTTTGGTTATCTTGGACACTGAAAGTAGATTAAACTTGAAATCTGGCACATGAAGCACATTCTCAAGCTTGTAGCTTCCGAAAATCACTGCATCTCCTATATTTGTGATTTCTACTCTACCACATGTGGGAACCTGTACTCTATTGTTATTTTGATTTTTTAAGGTTCTAAAGGTGATTAGTAACTCCTTGTATGGTGTAATGTGGTGAGATGCCCCTTTATCTATTATCCATTCACAATCAAAGTCTTTGAATAGCAGTGAGGTCATACCTGCCATGTTACTTGTTATGTTATCTGCATCATCACTGGTTGTTGGTTTGTTCAGCATGTTCATTATCTGCTTGTATTGTTGTTCAGTGAAGAAGTGACCTTGTGTTTCCGGTGACTTCATGCTTTCTCCTGCTACTGTGGAATTAGCATAAGGTCTGAATCCACTAGTTTGTGATCCTTTCTTTTTGCTTTTAAAATCCTGTGGTAACTAACAATTTTGTAACAGTTTTCCTTCAAATGTCCCTTATAACCACAATGCTCACATATTATGCCAACTCCAAGCCTTTTAGGTTTAGGACCTTGATAAGTTCTTCCTGCCAACATTGTCAATGGCTCCTTGTTAACATCTACTACACCTAACAATCTTTGACTCTCTTCCTGAGAAACAGTCGCATAGGCTTCATTTACAGACACTACAGGTCTCCTTGCTAGTAGATTACTTCTTAGATTACTGTAGGATTCATTAAGTCCCATAAGGAACTGCAACAATCTCTGTGATTTCAAATGAACTACATAAGGCAGGGATTCTTCACAATCACAGGAAGGAAGTGGGGCTAAGACATCTAACTCGTCCCAACAATCCTTCATTTTAGAGTAATATGAAGTAACAGACTCAGTTCCTTGCCTCAAAGTGGCAATTTCAGTCCACAAGTGAAATATCCTAGTTAAATTCGATCTATCAAACCTCTCTTCAAATTCACTCCATACCTTCTTAGCATTAGATGCATATACAATACTGGCCATCAATTCCTCCGCAACAGTGCTTCCTATCCATGACAGAACAATAGCGTTGCATTTCTCCCATTGCTCCGCTAATGCACCCTTGTACATGCTTTTAACACAGGTTCCGTCCACAAAACCTAGCTTTCCTTTGCCTCGAAGAGCTAATTTCATGGCTCTACTCCACAAAGCGTAATTGTTTGGTCCTGTGAGCTTCGGCTGTATTAGCACAATCCCAGGCGAATCTCCAGGTTGAAGATATAGCGGATGATTGTGATCTAGAGAAGTAACTTCATTTCTGCAAATCGAGCTTTCATTTTCTCCCATTTTTTGTCAGAAAATCGAGCTTTACGATCCTCTGCAATAATCTGGGAAACCACACAAATTATGCTTTGTGTTCTTCTGCAGATCTCGATCTACTTCAACGCATGAGTTATCCTCAATTCACCCGCTCTAATACCATGTCGAATTGAGCCATGCAATGTGAGTGATTAGGGATTTTAGAGAGAGAAATTGAGTAGAAAGGGAAGAAGATAACTGTTTCATTCATCTCAATTGAAGGCTGATACACAGCTTATATACAGACCACTCTCACCTCACACACGTGCACATCACATGACACTTTTAACTAACTCTAAACTGATTTTAACTAACAACTAATAACACCAGCTAATCACAGTTAGTCCAGCTAATCACAGTTAGCACTACTACACTTCTGCTTCTCTATTCTATATTTCATTAAAGTGAAATGTGTATCGTCATTAAATATCTTGCGAATGTACCAAAAAATAATAAAAAAATATCTCTCGATCCAGTTAAACAATTTTGAGGGGCTCGAAAGGGAAAGCGAATTAAATTGAACGAAGAAAAAAAGAGTTACTTGTCTTGAATGATACTCCTATATTTGGTAATTTAGTAACTTTGAAAAAAGTCCAATTGTGAAGCTTTTAGCAAAATTATGGAGTTTGGGGATACTATTCGGGATTTTTTCTAAGATACCAAATAGGACACTTGTTATCTGCTTTAACGAGAGAATTGGATCTTTAAGAAGTGGCAACTATTTTTTAATAAAATATATACCATTCGGCAAATATATACTAATATATATAACTTATCCTGGGTTATATCAGTCAGGCTAAATAATCAATTACTAGTATGTATGAGATTGACAGATATCAAACAATGGGGTAACCTTTTTTTTTTTAAAGAAGGTAAGGAGTTTTGCACATTAGTAGATATTGTGCAAAAGGGTTTCGCATTATGGACGGATGAGGGTTATAAAGCTAGTCTAAGAGAGGCGGATGCGAATAGGTAGCTGGAATATAGGAACTTTGACAAAAAAGTTAATGGAATTAGTGACTACCTTAAAAAGAAGAGAGTTGATACGCGTGCTTTCAAGAAATTAAGTGGACATGACAAAAGGCTAGATAGATAGGTAATACAAGTTATAAACTATAGTACTGTGGAATAGATAAAAGTAAGAACATAATGAGAATTATTATAAAATCAGGACTCAAAGATAAGGTTGTAGAGGTAAAATAGATTAGAGATATTATTGCAGTAAGGTTTGTATGGGGAAGGAGACAATCCATGTTATCTATGCCTATGCTCCATAAATAGGATTAGATGCAAAAGCTAAAACTAAGTGTTGGGAGTATATGAATTTTTTGATTCAAGGAATTCCAGCATATCAACATATCTTTATAGGGGAGATTTAAATTGCCACGTAGATAAAAATAGCGACGATTTTGAATAAGTACATGGGGTTATGATTATAGTAATAACGAAAGAAAGAGTATCTTAGAATTCGTTTAGCTTATGATTTAGTGATAACTAACACATATTTAAAAAAGAGAAATTCTCACCTAATAACTTATAAGAGTAAGGGTAACCATAATCAAATCGAATTTACCCTTACAAGATATGAGATAGAAGTAATGACCACCCAATATAGGTTAGTAGTCTTAAATGTAAAGCAAAAGAGTAGATTGAAAAAGGAGATAAATTGCAAACTACCCATGACAGTTTTGTTGTCAAAGTTTCCCCATTGAATTCCACTAAAGATTTTAAGATCCTACATTGATTGTTTTAATTTGGAGGGAGCGAAAAATGGAAAAAATTAGAGTATAAAAATCTTGTTACGTTAGGTAATTAAGTACAAATACTCCTAATAGTGATAATTATGGTTTCAATTTTACATATCCAGATAAATTTTTTTAAATATTTGATCTCGCCCAACTCTAGTCCTAAAAGGATAAGCGCTCGCTGCAAATATAATCCAAACTCCAGAGTCGAATCCCACAGAGCACTAATGTTTCACTATAACTGTTCAATATCACTAAGAAGAAAAGTTCGAACAATTCCTAAGTTATAAAGATTGTGATTCTTATTTTAAACTAATTGACTAGCAACTATTAAAAGTAGTAAAAATTACTAACTAAAGATACTAAGGGTTGGAGACAAGATTAAGGAGGTCTAAAGTTACGATTTCCCCAATTATCGGAATCCTTCCTTCTGCGTCTCCTGTAATTTCGCTAATTATTCTCTACTGACTGTGACACTTCAGGTGTCGTAATTCTCTCCGAGAAACTACAGTAATTTACTAGACATATTCTCCCCGAACTACGCTAGCTGACACAATCTTACCGCTCACTATGACCATATCAAGGCTTTGTTATTCCTAAACCCACCTTTAAACCTGCCGTATTGATTCCTCATATACATAGAAGTGACGTTGTTCAACAACTATCTAACTATGTACCTTTTCCCAAGCAATACATAAAAAATAGGCACTGTCAATTGATGGCCATTCAATCAACAAAAATAAGCATGTAGTTGAACAAGTAAAGAAATTCAAAGGCTAAATTATATTCAAACTTAACAAGAATTCATCCTCCAAAAGGTTCCATCAAAACCTCAAATAATATTAGCTATCCATAGTAGTATGTGAAAGTACAATTTAAATTCTTAACCAACAATAGAAAACAGGAAGAAGAAAGGAAAAACTCGTGGTTGAATCTTCCTCCTTGCTCCTAGTGTATTCTTGCCTCCAAAGGTGTTGTGTAATCCTAAAGTAGTGTCCCCTCCTCCAAAGTTGTGTAAAAATCATGTTTAGCGTGTATTTATATGACGTAGGTAGGGTGGAGGGCCGTCCAATACAATCCAATAAGAGAGCTGGAATCCGTGTCTGCCTTCACGCGTCGCACGCCCATGGACGCGGACTTAGCTTTTGCAAATTTTCGGTTCGCGAAGCGATCCGTGCCTTCGCTTCACTTTGCTATTTTGTGCCTTCAGTTTTCTCTTTTTTCACGTCCGTTTTGTGCCACACACAAGATTGGACGAGCTTTCAATTCTTTCCATCTCTTCCTTTTTGTGTCAAATTGTCATCTTTTGATCATTTATCATCCAAACTCGTTCCTACACGTAAGAAACATAATAAGCATGTTTCACTTTAAAAAACACGTAATCTCCCACGACTCACACAAAAATTAATAAGCAAATATACTAGTAAAAAATATGCACTTTTCATCCTATATCAACATTCCCTTATGAGTTTTGGCAAGTTTTGAAATAATGATGACCAATCAACCATGCAATCTCACTTAAAATCTTTTTAGCTGAAAATTATTTTGTCAATTGGCCTATTGATGTACAATAATACATTAAATGTATTAGTGAGGGGCAGTTAAGGAGCTGCTTGGGAGGAAAAACTTACCCACAAGGTGATACACAGAATTTGACACCAAATTTAATACTTTACAAATGACTATGTGATAAATATTAATTAATAATAACTACACGATTACATATATCATTATGGAATTTTCAGATAGACTACTCATACATTAAACATTATAATGCAATGTACTATTTTCATATTTAGGGAAAAGCAAGCATCTAATTTCCGTAACATTTGTATCAAGTGAGTTTTATTTTCTTTATAAAGGTTTTTAGTGATTTCCATTTGAAGGAACGAAAAGAATGAAGCATCCAGTTGCAGAGGCGAACGAGGTGAGCCCATTCGGGTCATTGAGCCCCGACGAGTTCTATTCTCACCACTCAGTGAGTCACGGCTCCGAGTTCATCACTAATTCTCGAGGTCTCAAACTCTTCACTCAGTGGTGGACCCCACTCCCTCCCGCTAACCCTATCGGCGTCGTCTGCGTTGTTCACGGATTCACCGGCGAGTCCAGCTGGTTCGTTCAACTCACCGCCGTTCACTTCGCCAAGCACGGTTTCGCCGTCTGTGCAATCGATCACCAAGGCCATGGCTTCTCCGATGGCCTCGTGGCTCATATACCCGACATTAACCCCGTCGTCGATGACTGTATCTCCTTCTTCGATTCTTTCCGTCAGCGCCACGCGCCGCCGTATCTCCCGTCGTTTCTCTACGCTGAATCTCTCGGCGGCGCAATTGCACTTCTCACCACTCTCCGGCAGGGAGATTCTGCTCTTAATAGGCCTTTTGACGGCTTCGTTTTGAACGGGGCCATGTGCGGTATCAGCGCTAAGTTCAAACCGCCGTGGCCATTGGAGCATCTTCTGGATATTGCAGCATTTCTCATTCCCACATGGCGCGTTGTACCCACTCGCGGCTCTATTCCTGAAGTCTCATTCAAGGTAAAGGAGTTGAATTATATTTCTATTTTTATTCACTTTATTAAAACTGCTTTTTCTTTAATTTGGTGAATCACGAAGGTGGAGTGGAAGAGGAAACTGGCAGTGGCAAGCCCTAGGAGGCCTCTAGGGAGACCACGAGCGGCGACAGCGCGTGAACTGGTGAGAGTATGCGGGGATCTGCAGAGGAGATTCGAAGAAGTGAAGGTGCCGTTTCTGATCATACACGGCGGCGGGGACGTCGTCTGCGATCCGGCTTGCGTCGAGGACCTTTACCGGCGAGCGTCTAGTGAAGACAAAACTCTGAATGTTTACCCGGGAATGTGGCACCAGCTGGTAGGAGAACCAGAGGAGAATGTGGAACAAGTGTTCGGAGATGTTTTGGAGTGGCTGACAACCAGAGCAGAGCGTGCCGCCGGGAAGAAAGCGGCAGAGGACGGCGGCGCGTAGATAAAGTAGTGAAGGGCTTGTGATAGGAAGGTAGTTGGAGGTTTGCAGTTGAAGAGTGGTTGGATTATTATTGGTGATATCGTACTGAATTTAAGGGTGGTAAAGGAATCAAGGATATTATTAATTATTGCATGGGGTAATAGGTTCAAATAATTGTTAGAGCTGGGACAATATATTTTGTTTTTGTTGAGAAATTTACGTAGCTATACTAGTATCACTTTTATTTAGGTTCGTACTTAATTACATTTTATATCTATATTATATATTATTATCTATGTACAAAATCATAAAAAAGAAAAAAAAATTAGAAGATTAAATTTAGCATCTCATTCAATATCCTTCACCAACTTATCTTCCAAAATAGGTACTTCTCTCACAATGTAAATGAAAATAGTAAAAAATTGTCCCTAAAATTGCAGCAGCAAAGGATTCTTCATCGGTATCCATTAAAAGGTTTCGAAACTTTGATTACAAATATTTGAAATTTATGAATTTGTGATTTGTTTGGATTGAGTGTTTTTGCAAATGATGGAGAATGTACCTTATAGTTTATATATCAATTTTGAGGGAAACTGGTTATGTTTAGGGCTGGATTTACTTAAAATTTCAGATTGAAACTCGAAGAAAATGAAGTTGCAGGAATTGTATGATAAATATATCACAATTTGTTTTAGAATTGTATTAAAACTGTATGTTACTTGTATATAATACATTAATACTGTGACGACCCAAAGGGGTCATCACCGGATTTCTCTCTTTTCCGTGCTTCCGAGGCCTTGAAAACCTCATTTCTGCTTGCCTCGATTTGCGTGCGCAGTCCGGGCGCGTAGCCGGAAAGCTTATATGTTAAATTCTGTGAAAAATTTCAAAATGTGGCTTTAAAATGATTAAAGTTGACTTTGGTCAACATTTTTGGTAAACGGACCCGGACCCGTGATTTGACGGTCCCGGAGGGTCCGTAGAAAAATATGAGACTCGGGCATATGCCCGGAGTCGAATTTCGAGGTCGAGAGCCCGAGAAATGAATTTTTCTGTGAAATTATTTTTCTGAAATTATTAAGGAAAATGGAAATGAAAATTGATTAAAAGACTATGGTATCGGGCTCGTATTTTGGTTCCGACGCCCGGTACAAGTCTTAAATATGTGTTAAGCGCTTTCTGTAAAGTTTGGTCGAAATAGGATGTCATTTGACGTGTTTCGGACCTAAATATCTAAAATTTGAAGTTATGAAGTTTGAAATGAAAATGATGATCTTGAGGCTTGGTTCAATGATTTTTGATGTTATTTTGGCGATTTGATCGCCCAGATAAGTTCGTAGGATGTTATTGAGTTAGTGTGTGTGATTGGTTAGGAGCCCCGAGGGCTCGGGAGTGAATTGGAGGTGGTTCGGGGTGTTTTTACACTTAGAAAAATAGCAGATTTTGCTTCAGCTGTTGCGAGCCCATTTCCTCTTCGCGATCGCGTTCGTCATCCCGCGTTCGCGATGCCTTACTCCCTCTTTCTTCGCGATCGCGTTCCAGCCCCGCATTCGCGTAGGGTTATTTGACCCTGAGGGCTGAGTCTCCTTTTCCCCTTCGCGTTCGCGTTTGTACCCTCGCGATCGCGTAGCTCTACAGAACTCCTTCATCGCGTTCGCGTGAAATCCCACGCGTTCGCATAGAACAGTTCCTGGACCCCAGCAATTTCCTTCTACGCGTTCGCGTCTCTCTCCACGCGATCGCGATAGCCTACCCAGTCTACCCTTCGCGAACGTGGCCCCTCTCCCGCGAACGCGAAGGGCAATTTTGCCCAGCGAATTTTTAAGTTAAAAACAGAACAGTAGCTCGGGATTTTCACAAAAATACACGAACCCCTTTCTTCTCCAAGCACTTAGGCGTCCATTGAAGCTCCCTTTCATCAAAACTTCTTGGGTAAGCATTGTTCAACTTGTTTTCTTCAATTTCCTCTATTAATTACTAA